GAATGCCGACTGCAGTATTTTCAGGGCAGGCCTGGGAAAGATCAGGACAGTGAGTTTCTAAGGTGTGGTGAGAAAACCCCATTTTTCTCTCCTGGCCTCTGGATGAGGGGCAGGGGGAGAAGGCCGAGCTTTCCTTAAAGCAGGTTGGAATCACTCAGCGGGTGTTTTCACCTCTTGAAAGATGAAGCTTGAGGCTTCACAGGATAGCTCTTTTTTTGAAGGCTGTGAGTTGCCACCTCAGCCCACATCTGGAAGACAGGCGAGTGGTGTGGCGTAGCTCACATTACCTGGGGATGCCTGTCCCCTTTCCTCTCTGCTCTTCCTGCTTAGGCTGTAGCCGTGGCAGGGCGCAGACACACACCTGCCTTGTGCTGCCCGTCCCCGAGCCGAGTGCTGCGAGCCGGCCTCAGTCCACCCCGAGCCCTGCCCATGTGTGCCCACAGCTCTGCCTTCACACACGTGTGCGCTCTGCCTGCGGCACTCCTGCCCTGCTGGAGCCCCACGAGCTGCTGCAAGCACCAGCTCTTCTGGAGCCTCCCTGACTGCACAGGGTCATTCACTCCGAGCTTCACGGTGTCCCACATGTACCTCGGATGGGCCCTGGCACCACCCTGCAATCAGTCTTCAGTGTGGGTTCTGGTTCCCTCTGGAGGCCAAGTTGCTAGAGGATTTTTGCATCCTATTTCTCATCTGTCTCACCTTCTCTTTTGTGGGGTATAAAACATGTATGTTAGTAAATGTTTGTTGATCGAATAACCTTTCCTTTAACCCTGTACTCTTGAGAGGAAGGTTAGGACTTTATCACACTCTTAAGAGAGAGTTCTTAGCGTTGTTTGTGAAGGAAGTTTAAGGACACTTTCCAGGACCCACCAAGGCTGACGCGCGTGCCGACAACTGAGCCTCCAGACATGCCTGACCCTCCCCATCCTCCTGCTGCTGTGGTTTCTTACCTGATACGTGGACAGCATTTATGAGATTGTCAGCTCTTCTGGGGTTACAGGGAGTAGGACCTGCAGTCACTCTGGGGAAGTTGGAGAAGTCCAGAGGGTCATTGGCGGGGGAGGCTCATATCCTGGCTGTCAGAAGCTTGTGGAGCTGCTGTCGTGCTAAAGGTCAGAGTTCCCAGAGTGAAGGTGTTGCCAGACCCTGGGAGAATGGGGACGAGCATCCCCTCCCGTGGTCGGCAGCTCGCCCACTGCTCCCTCACGCGGTCTCACTTGCTCTGCAGGAGATCGCCAACACCTCTGGCCGCTTCTTTGTCATCAACAAGGAGAACTACACCGAGCTGAACATCTTGAACCTCCAGATCACGGAGGACCCTGGCGAGTACGAATGCAACGCTACCAACCCCATCGGCACCGCCGCCAAGGTCACCGTCCTGCGGGTGCGCAGCCACCTGGCCCCGCTCTGGCCTTTCCTAGGGATCCTGGCTGAGATTGTCATCCTCGTGGTGATCATTGTCGTGTATGAGAAGAGGAAGAGGCCAGACGAAGTCCCCGACGGTAAGAGCATCCCCCCGAGCTGGCCACGATGCCGGGGCTGGGGCTGGGCTGGGCTGAGTCTGAGTCCTCAGGGTGGTTTCCAAGTACCCACAGAGGACTGTAAGGATGTTGGGATTCAAGCCCAGAAAAAGAAGAAGAAAATTCTCAGACGGTCCTTGACCCCTGCTCCTAAGACTGACAGTAGTCACCTAGAGCTCTTGTTGGCCCCTCCTTTCGGTGCGTGTTCTCCAAACCCCAGGCCCGTCTGCCCTCAGGCCCCTTGGGGTGAATGGCAGCCATCAGTCTCTGTTCAGCTCTGTCCTCCTTCAATACAGATCATCAGGCACATTGAGCTTGAGGAGAATCCAAGTCAAGCCTAGAAGCCACCCCAAGATCGCAGGCCACCTGGCCTTTCAGGCAGATTTAAGGTATCGGATTGGTTGTCACATGGTTGCCTGGTGTAGCCCCTGTAGGTGATGCCCCAGCCCAGCCGGCGCTGTCGGAAGCCACCAGAGCAGGCGAGCCCTTGGCCCCTTGGCTCCGGCCCCTTGGCCAAGTGTTCTGGGCTGTGCACTGGCTTTTCTGTCTGTGCCTCACAGACGTGAGGGGCGGAGAGCAGTGGTGCACCCACCCGCCCAGTTCAGGACAGAGGAGGGAGAGGATGCAGCTGCCACCACAGCAGGTCGCCAGGCCTCGGAGAGGGAGGAGCTGAAATCTGAACCATCGCCCGTGTCTCGGTCAAGCCCTGAGACTCTGAGACGTCTTGTTTTCGGTCAGGATTTTGGTTTCTGGCTCTGATTGTAGCAGGGGGAGCTACTGGTTGAGACTTGAACCAGAAGTCCTTCAGGTTCCTAACTGCTCCCTAGCCCACTCTGTGCTGTATAACGTCCCCTGAAAGCAGTCAGCTGGCCAGCCACCCACACCTGTCACTGCCTAGACTGGCAGTGTGGACTGCCAGCCATGGCTTGACTGCCCTGGGGCCTGTGGCCCATGGTACTGTGTGTAGCTGAGCAGCAGGGCTGCAGCCTATCACACTTGCCAGAGGGGTCCCCATGGCCAGCACTGGGCAGCACCGCCAAGTCCTCAGGGACGTGCTGACCGCAGCGGCCCCTTCCCTCTGCCTTCTCTCTCAGGAGCGCCCGGTCGTCTCCGCTTGCACTGAGTGGACTGTGGGACCGAGTGAGCAGAGACTGGCACGGAGGGCCTTCCCCCCACACCCCCGCATGTCCAGTCAGCAGTGAGCAGGGCGGAGGGTTGAGGCACGCAGGCTGGAGCACATGGGCCTCTGTAGGTACTGGTCTGCAGCCCCGCACCGCAGGCCGGGGCCTGGAGTTTCAGTCCCTCCCTGCCGAGGGACCTGCCTCGTTGGGGTGTTGAGGTTGCCCTAATGCTTTTCCCCCAGCCGTCCTCCTTCCTGTTAGGTGTTAGGACTCCCAAGGCAGAGTGCACCCATGCTTAGACCTGAGGGTAAGGGGGAGAGGTTTCCATTGTGGCTCCTGTGGGGGCAGTCAGCCCTCCTCCCTCCGAACTTCGCCTCTCTCCGCTCGCTGTCACCTTCCTCGCCTACTCCGTGGAAAGGTTGAGAAGCAGTCGGGTGACAGAAGGCAGAACCTGACTTTAATTTCAAGACCAGGCTGGCTGCCGCTCTCAAGAGGAAGTGGCCCTGTGGCTTGGCACGTCCCTGTCAGAGGCCCACTCTGCCAGGTTGCCATCCCCGCGCATTGCCAGCCCTTCAGTTCCACCTGGAAGTGGTTGGCGTCGGTTCTGGCTAGCGCAGGCACCTTCCCGAGGAAGCGGCACGCTGAGCTCCTCAGCTCCCCGGCTCGGGGTGGGGTGGGGTGGGGGGCGGTCTGTTACAGGAGCCCCTGTGGCCAGCCAGTCCCCTGAGCGGCGCCCTGGAGGGGACATCGCCCCAGGCTAGCCTGCTGTAGACAGTGGACCGAGCCCGAGTAAGAGAGGGCTGCAGGGCAAGCGCCAGGTGCGGCTGAACTGGTGGAGGGTGACAGGAGACTGCCGTGTCCCCTGCCCTGCCCTTCCCGACAGCCAGTGTGGTCTGGGCCCGTCTCCACGTCCGCACCCCTGCCTCACGCCAGCATTTCCACGCCATCGCTCTCTCCCTCTCCGACCCCTCCCTGTTCTCATCCCGCCCCTTTCCTGGGAGCAGTCACTTAGAAAAGCTGAGTGTTCCTCAGGGAGTTCCCTGGGCCATGGCGTCCCTCCTTTAGCCAGCGACCTTCAGCTTCTCTGCAGTCCTGGCAAGGACAGACTCGCCCCGTCCTCCTCCACGTGCCCTTTCGCAAACGCACCTCGCGCCGTGTGAACACGCACCTTCTCGGTGAGCGACGCGGCTCGGGCTTCCGAGGGGAGCTTTTGCCCGTCAGAGAACACCTGCGGCTCTGTCGGCTAACTTGGGCCGTTTCAAAAGTGGGGCTCTAAACGGGCCGGACGAGCCTCTCTGCCACAGGTTCTCCGCTATCAGGAGGCAGCTGTGGCTCACTTCAGACTCACTGAGTTTTCTGTTTGAACTCACAGCATTCATATTTCGGCCGGTGTGTGAGTTCTTAGTAACTCACCCTCTTAGGCATGACGTCCGAGCAGAAGTGTAAAAACACAGATTTGCTCAGAGTGTACCCTGCTAGGAAAGCAAATAATCACTTTGGATTGATTGATTGAAGAGAGAGATTTTTTTGCTATAGGGTGTGGGCGCTCACTGAAGAGACAGACAGAAAGTGAGAAATCACCCCCCTACGGGGATGGCCACACCACAGTCCCTTCTCCTCCACTGTCCCCTCAGGACTTTGAGCACACACTCACACGTGCCTCTGGGGTGTTTAAAGCCATCAGGTCCGGGACTGAGCGCGGTCAGCTACGTGGGAGTCCAGCTACATAACCATTATACCACATGCTGGTCCCCACTTCAGATTTAAATTCTTCTCATCCATTTCTACTTTTGGGGTTTGGGGCACACGTGCACACCCAGTGTGTTTTTTGAGCCACTGGGTCTAGGACTCAAACTGTAGTCGGCCACGTGGGAGCTAGCCACTGCAACCACCATGCCAAGGGCTGGCCCGCTCGAAGCATCACAGTAAGGTTGACAAGGAACTGCTTCCTATAAGCCCGTGTCTTTTACCTGCTGGTGTGTGCTCAGGCCTGCCTGCGGGTGCACCTCAGCCCTGTCCTGGTCCCGTCCGCTTTCTGAGGGTCAGTGCCCAGTGGGTGACAGGGAGGTGGACTGTCCATACAGCACCTTCCACATCCAGTGTCTCAGGAACAAGTGAACTCTGGAGCCAAATAAGAGCCTCACTGTCTCTCTTCACTCACCCCTCCCTCGTCTTAGTCACCACGCGATAACATGACATGGTAACACTCTGAAAGCTGGGCTCTACCTTCCATGAGCCTCCATGGCCTCCACCCGTGCCATAGCGGGGCACCTGCTTAGAGCCCTCACCTCTGCACCCAGAGCACATGGTGCGTGCTCAGGCCTCGCTCCCTCCCACCTGGGGTGGGGGGTACTGCCAGCTGCTGGGTCTTCACCTGTCTGGGACGAGTCAGTGACCCACACGCTGCACTGAACAGTACCTGCCATCAAAAACTGGTCCCTTTCACTGCAGGATAATTTCACAGGCAGGTCAGGGTGCTCGTAGGTAACTGGTGGGGAGAGATTTGAGCTGGGGGAGCGTGGCTAAGATAGCTAAGCTCTTAGATACATTAGATTTCAGAGCTCTCCTCGTGGTCCAGAATCTGCTGGTCAACACGTTTCATCGCATGTGAAGTCTGACAGCCAGTAGGCCTGCTGGGAAAGGAATGGGGTTTTAAAATGACACCTCAAATGTACACAACCAGGGCCACTGGCTCAGTGACCAGGTACCTCACGGAGAAGATGGCACAGCAGTAACCCAGGGAGGAAGCTGGAGGTCGCTGTTAGCCTTGCTCGGGTGTCATGGCTCCTCTGCTGAGGTGGACTTGGCAGCCATAAGGCCCGTCCACAGGGAGGCGCCGGCAGTGACAGGGGAGCGGAGCCCAGCGCAGACTCTTGGTGGTTTTGAGTGTCAAGCCGTCTTTGGAGGTGATACGGGATCAGAAAGCCCGTTGTTCACGTCGCAGAGCACCCCTTAGTTTATGAGGCAGAAACGGGGGTGCGGGGCCTGTGGCACTCGGCAGAAGACTGAACACACAGACGAGTCCGCGTGTGGGTCCCAGAGCACCTCCTCCACCCTCCCCGTCCTCTTCCTCTCACCTAGCCAGTGACTGGGCGTACCCCAAGGTGGAGAACAGTTACTGCGTGAGCCACTGGCGCACCGAGGGTTGGGGTGTGTTGATATGTGTCGGTTACTATGACTTCTTTTTTTTCCCCCCTCAATCGCATCAAACCCTTAAAACATGGTGGTAAGTGAGCGATCTGCATGTTTTGGAGTTTGTTCGATCTCCGCTTCAGTCTATGGTGCACAGTTCATGATGTTAACACTTCCTTCAAGTTTACCTCATTCACTTCCACAACTAATTTGGATTTCAGTTTGCTGTTTAATCCTCATTTACGTTGATTTCCGTCCCTTTTCTCTGTAGTTCTGTTCTTCCCCTCTCTCCTGACCTCTCTGTCAGGGGTCAGGCGGGCTTTTTGTCTGATCTGTAAGGGAGAGCAGGCCGCAGGTGGCGACTCAGTGCAGGGAGCGAGCCCCGAGGCGCTAGTCTTGGCTGTGTCGGTGTGACAGTGGGTCTGGGAGAGGGCGCAGGCCTCCTGGGACTGAGCGCCGTGGGCCCACAGGCCTGGCAGCTACGCCGGAGGCCCGGCTGCTGAACAGCCACACGCAGCTCTCTGCATGTCCCCAGCTCGTCGGGCTGGAAAGTGACCTCACTAACCGGCCACTCGGGATACCCCCACTGCAGAAGAAAGCCTGTGGTGGGAGGCGCTTGGGTTGGTGCCTGTAGCGTCACGCTTTGAAGACTAGCCTGGCTGTCGCGATTGCCCCTCCCCTGCTTTTTACTTTAGAATTCGGAATCACGGGTGATGGTCCCAGGTCGCTGCCTTGCCACCAGCGTTTTCTATTTCAGGCGCCCAGCCCTAAAAACCCGCGAGGTTGCTCCTGGGTCCTTCCCTTGCCGCCCCTCCAGCTCCCCACCCCCAGCTTAGTCCCCAGCATGTGGCCGGGCTGGCTTGGCCGGTGCTGAGCGCCAGGGTGTGGCCAGGGGAGGCCTGGGTGGGCTGGTGTCCAGTTCCTGGTGCGTCCGGATCTCTTCCCCCCACACACTGCAGTGTGGTGGGTGCCCCTCGGTCCTGGCCTGTCCTCTGTACTGTTCGGTAGTGTGCTGTCGTTAGCGCAGACTCCTGTGGACACTGGCGTGCCGCTCGCCTGGCGTTTGGCTGATGAGTCAGTGGTTTGTGGTTGGTTCTTTTTTTCGAAACCCCTTTCGCTCCAGTCACTGTGTGTGCTGGCGGTGGCTTTGCCTCTCCGTTGCCTCCGGGAACAAGTGGAGCAATGTCTCCCCTGCGGACATTCCTCCCGCGATGCCTACACTGAGACTGCGCTCTCCATGACTGCTTCATGTGCACCAGCCCTTGTGGAATCCTGCTGAGCGTTTTTCTAGAAGCCTTCAGTGAAAGCACTGCTCTGAACCACCTAGTCCGCCCGGGTTCTGTACAGGGGAAGCACACTAAGCACACGCACTTACTCCCGCCCCTTAGTGGGCCTGGATTTTAAAGTGATTCTGTGTATGTGCCTCTCTGTTTGAAAGGGACCAGTGTGCCCTTAGGTGACACAGGAAAGAAAATCTCATAAATCTGAATCACAGTGTATCAATTTATGAAGGCGTCTAAACGCAGATAAACTAAGTTTTTTGATGAAAAACAAAAACAAAAAAGAAACAAAAACATGGTATCTCATGGCTCTTCTTGGTTTGATTTCCGGTTTTGTGCAGGGCACGGAGTGAGCCTGTCTCTCTACCAAAGTCCTTTCTAGAGGAATGTCAGCGCTCTCGGCCTTCCCCACGTGTCACTGAGCACACTCCGCTGTGGGTGTGCTCATGCCAGCGCAGCCTGGCCCACCTCGGCAGCCGAGTACTAGACCGGACTGTTGGGGCGTCATCCTCAGTCTCCTCCTCCAGCTAACGACCCCCACGATTACAGATAAGAAAAACAGTGCCCCCTGGAGAGGCGAGACTGGGCGCCGGTGTACAGAACGTGCACATCCACTTACAGTGCAGGGTGGAGCCAAAACTGCATTTACCCCAAGAAAACACACAGCAGGATTTTACAACTGAAATGTTGGTTTGTCTTCTCATCTACTTACGAGTGAACCACTGGAACTTGGGGACAAGATGAGTATGATCATATTGCAGCCTATCTGTCCACTACAGTTGCAGTTTTTCATGACAAGCATTCAAAGTGTTAACTAAAACCATTGAAACAACATACCTGCCATTAGAACCTGAGTCTAGAAGTAACAGCTCCATGAGTGTTCTGCACCTCCAGACGGAATGGCCTTTAGTAAATGCTATGAAAAGCCGTGTTTGCCACGTGCGTTTTGCTGTCTGACTGACGATCTCTACGCCGAGTCTAACCGTGTTCTCCTTTCTCTTCCCTCTCGCGAACTTAACCACCCGAACACCCTTGCAGATGACGAACCAGCTGGACCAATGTAAGTGCTTTATTGGGCCCTGACGCAGTAGCTGACGAGTGAGTCTTGGTGTGTCTGCAGTTTTAGTAAATTGAGTAGCTGAGATTAGTGAGTGGAGAATGAGCGTTGCAGTGTAGACGTCTTAGCCTGCTGTGGATCTGAAGACTGTTCGATTCCCAGCATGGGCGAGGTATTGGTCCCACAGAGTGGCCCACCATGCATACGGTAGCTGTCATGCATTCCAGAAGCTTCAGGTGATCGTGTGGGCAAGATGGCAGTGTACCCGAGGCTCCAGGCTTGCATTTGCAGCAGGACTGTGGCTCATGCCATTACCAGTTGCTGGTTGCCGGGAGGGCAGAGCTGCAGGTGTGGAGTAGATATAGGCTGGGCAGAATGCCCTTAAGTTAGCAAAATAGGCGTGATGGCAGGCAGGTCGTGCCGAGGGTTAGGGGAGTGACAGAGGGCACAGCACTAGCCATGTGACTGTCTTGCCTGTCGAGGAGGGACAGTATTCAGTGGAGAGAGAATTTATTCCCTCGCCTTTATGGTAACTGCATGATAGTTAAGAAGGCAAAGGGGAAGCTGCCGTATGTCCCCTGCCTTGGGAGTCGGAGGTCTGTTCATGGAAGTGTGTAGGAGGTACTTCACATGAGGAATAGTTGTGTGTGTGAACAGTGTGTGGTAAGATTTCTTAGCCACACCAGGGATGGCGGTGCGAGTCCCCCGTAGTGGCATGTGTTGTTCTTTCACAAGTTGTTCCTGACCGAGTGTAATTCATGCAACTTTCCCTCCAAAGGAAAACCAACTCTACCAACAATCACAAAGATAAAAACTTGCGCCAGAGAAACACAAATTAAGCACTGCTTATACGGTAAGTATGGCCTTCTTTAGAAGTTTTAAAAATTATATCCAAACGAATATGCCTCTGTTGACCTTGTTTAAAAGTCTTTAATAGTTGATGTTGTTTTGAAAAATCTTTTAGTTCATTTTGGAGCAGCTGATGCTGCTGGGGCAAGCTCTGGCTGTCCTGTCCCTGGGCTGGAAAGGAATGTTCGTCAGCTGCATCATTTCGCTTCTCACCTGAGAAAACACATCCGCTTCTCTTTCATTTCGCAGCGTGTGTTTTCCAGTACGCACTGTGCACTGTTATCTACCTTGGTCTTTAAAAAGAGGCGGAGTAAAGTGGTCACCTCCTCAGGTGGTTTATTTCCAGAGGCCTGTCAGTCCCATTTGCTTCTAGGGCAAGGTCAGAGTGTGGCCTAGCAGCAGCATGACACCCTGTTAGGCACACAGGTCAGCATGTCACATCCCATCCCTGGGCTCGCTTTGTGATGTGAAGCTGTGGCACTTGGTGTAGTCTTGGGGACGGTGCATGTTCCCTTTTAATGTCCACATTCTTCCTTCTCTCCAGATCTTTAGGTTCCTGAAACTGGCGGCAACATGACCTGCTAAATTTTCTGCTTGGACCTCTTTGGTTCTCTCCCCTTTCGAGTGAGCAACACCACACGACTGTCTAAAGCATGCCTTATGTAGCCTTTCCTGTAAGGGTGACCTAGCCAGGTACATTTTAAACAATGCTTCAGCGTAGAAGGTGTAAACTATTTTGGGCTTGATGTGCTGTGAATGTTGCTTTTCTTCCTTTGTTAAAATATTTAAATAGAAGTTAAAAAGGTCCTCTGAGATCAGATCATGCATGCGCCATTTTTTACTTAATGCAGCTGTTAAACTGGCAAAGCTCTAAAACGCACTGCTGCCATCTAGTGATACATTTTTGTAAAGTACAACGAAACCTACAGATACATACTATATATACATATTTATATTTATATATTTTGGGGGTAGGAGAAATCCAAAATAAATGCTTGTTTCATTTTTAAGCTGCTGATATTCATTCCTTAGTGTTGTCACATGAGGAAATCATGCAGATACATAAAGATGAGTAATGTAAGCTAAACTCTATCATTTCAAGGGCTTCACCTATGACTATAATAAGAAGCTGGGACAGTCCACTGAAGGGATATAATGATCACAGTATATATGTCTGATTGCTTTGTGTTTTTTTTTTTGTTGTTGTTAAATCATGTAAATTCTGATATCCTTGTGCACTGATGTGTTGAACCTCTTGTATATTCAGTCGAGGCAAACTTTTATAATTTACCCTTTGTTTTCAGTAACCTTGAAATGTTATAGCATGGTGATACTATATGCAGTGGTAATTCTTTTTTGGTTCGACACTGTTTTTTTTTTTTTTTTTTGAGAGGTTTTTGCTATAGGGTGTATGCGCTCGCCAGACAGGCAGAGAGAGGCAGAGAGACAGAAAGCAGGAAATCAGCCCCCAGGGGGGATGGCCATGCGGCAATTCCTTCTCCTCCACTCTCCTTTCGGAATCTTGGGCACGCACGCACACGCGCCCGGCGTGAGTTTAAGCCACCGGGTCCGGGACTTGAACCACGGTCGACTACGTGGGAGTCCAGCGACATAGCCATTATGCTAACTGCTGGTCCCGACACTGTATTTTTTCACATTAATTTACTGTTGGATGGTCGATTTTATAACCTAACAGGGTCCTCAAGCAGTGCACAACTGTAGATGCATTACTTGTGTTTTGTGTCATTGTTGAAGTGCAATGATGTATAAAAAGTGGACTCACCTGTTTTAAAAAATAAAACATTGATTAAAACAAATAAACAAAAAATATAAATAATTATCGACTATTTGAAATAATAATGTCTTGAGGGGTTTAAAAACATATGTAGTATTAAATTACCGAATGATGATGGTGCACAAGGCAGTAAGAGAGAAACTGGAGATTAAGGGTTCTAAAATCTTCCTGTTGTCTAGGATAAAATAAATGTGATGATTTGTATTGGATTTTAAAAAGTCCATTATATCTTGGCCCAGCCTGGTGGCACAGATAGTAGCAAGTCTAACCACAGTGCTGAAAGCCACATGGCTGACCACAGCTTTGGCTCCCTAGGTTGGCTTGAAACTGTGCCAGATGTGTGCACATAAGCCCAAGATCTTGAGCCAGATTGTTGGGAAGGGGATCACGGCTTGATCTCACTCTCTCTCGTTTGTGAACACCCGATCTCTATCATGAACTAAAGGCTAAAAAAGAATGGTCCATTATCACTAATCATTAGGGAAATGCAGAAACTACAAGGAGATACCACCGCACTCCCCTTAGAAGGACTTTAACAATGAAACAAAACCAGAAGAGAACAAGAGTTGGCCAGGATGTGGAGAAATGGCATCCCTGTGCACTGTTGGAAGGAACGGAAAGTGGTACTGCCGCTCTGGAAAGTGATATAGAATTCCTCAATAATTAGACGTAGAATTATTGTTTGAATCAGCAAGTTTACCTCTGGGTGTATACTCAAAAGAATTGAAAACAGGAACTTGAAGAGATATTTGTACACTCATGTTCATAGCAGCATTATTCATAATAGCCAAAAGGTAGAAGTGACCTAAATGTCCATCAACAGATAAGTGGATAAATAAAATGCAGGGGAGGCAGGGACACAGCATAAGACACTGTTGAAGGTGCTTCTCTCTCTCTCTCTCTCTCTCTCTCTCTCTTTCTCTCTCTCTGTCTCTCACTCTCATAAAAGAAATTTTAAAAAAATTATATATATATATATGTATATATACCTCTCTTCCGCCTTCAGCCTTCTTTCTCACTAAAAAAAAAAAAGAAGAAGAGGAAGTAAAAGCTAGACATTGACTTCTGACCACAGTTGTTAGTTCCCCTAACTGCTGCACTCGAGGTTCAGGTGTAAGTGCTTTGTCGTAAAACCATTTCTATAATGTAAAAATGATGCTTAAACAGATGTTTTACTGATGGCATGGTGGTTAAGGTAGCTGGATCCCACATGACCAACTTCACCGCTCATGTCCCAGACCCAGCGACTTGAAAAACATGCCGGGCAGATGTGCGTGCATGCATGCCCCAAATCCCTAGAGGAGAATGGAGGAGAAGGAATTACAGCATGGCCATCCCTTCTTGGGGGGTGATTTCTCACTTTCTGTCTCTTTCTATTGTTTTCTGGCCAGGTCAGATGCCCTATGGCAAAAAAATCTTTTAAAAAAATAAAGTTATTTACTGTTTTAAGTACAATCAGTTCTGAGATATTTATGAGTCAATTTGTAAAAGAATCACTAATGGAGAAGAAGATTCCTCATGGCTCCTGAGAACTAGTGATTTCAGGGAGAAAAAGACAATGAAGATTTCCTACTGATAATTCAGCCTCCACCCACAAACCTGAGTGGTAGGGAGCTCCTCTACCCTTCTCTTTATCTCTGTCTTTGTCTCTCTCTGCTTCTGCTTCTCATTTTTTTTTTTTTTGGTAATTTTTCCTTTTTAAAATTCTTTAAGGTAAAATATTCTCTTGGTTTCAGCCCTGCCTTTGTCTTGTTAATAATCTCCTCTTCCCTCCCACCCAGGCAGGAGAGGCAAGAGGCAGGTCTTCAGAAGACAATTCCTCATGGCTCCTGAGAACACTGA